ATAGATATCCTCTGCATTCACCATAACCTGATAACACTAGAAGGGTAGGTATCCTCTGCATTCACCATAACCTGGTGACACTAGAAGGGTAGATATCCTCTGCATTCACCATAACCTGGTGACACTAGAAGGGTAGATATCCTCTGCATTCACCATAACCTGGTGACACTAGAAGGGTAGGTATCCTCTGCATTTACCATAACCTGGTGACACTAGAAGGGTAGATATCATCTGCATTTACCATAACCTGGTGACACTAGAAGGGTAGGTATCCTCTGCATTTACCATAACCTGATGACACTGGAAGGTGTCTCCAATACTCTCAGCACATGGGAGTTCTTTCTAAGCTTTCTTTGATTATATTTTGCGTTTTGTATGTTTTGGAATTGATCACTCAAGCATTTGACCTTCACACATTTTGAAAGGTCTCTTCTGCTATAAAATGTAGATAAAGTTATTTTGTGTTTTATTATGGTGACTAACACTAACAAACAAGCTGATAGGCTGGTTAGCGATTTGATGTTTCGGCTGTCGCAATGGGCATGAATGTGAAGCTATCGTCGGTTTATAACTAATTTCATTTTATTTGAACACTGCTACTGTATTACAGGACTTGTAGGAAGTGATATTTGATACATTTGGTGTGAAACTATTCAAAAATCAGTGGACAGGAATTGATTTTACCACCTCAAGTAAAAGTGTGCTCTTCTTCCCATGTTTGATTTTAAGGGCAATCCTTGCGAAGCGGGTTGCCATTATTTTAACATCTACACTACAAAATAATTTCTAAGAAATCATTGCTGAAGTGAATTTATTTAATTTCCTTATGGTAGAAACAAGGAAGAAAATGAGTTACAAATTGATTTTTGATTAAAATATTTATTATATTCATCTTATACATAATCTAATAATAATTGCTACCTTAATGCAAGCTGTTAGTATTATAAACTTAGTGTGCATCGCTTGGACACAGCTATATTAGCCAACATGCATCAGATTTATGAAGCTAATGTTAAATCTCAAATACAGTACTATTAGCATACTGGTACTGTGTCTTGATTAGGTTTGCAACATCAATCCATACATTGATGTGCTTTCTTCACTTTCTTTTATTTTCCAATTTTTGTTTCAGGATTCAAAGAAAAATAAAGAGAAGGAGAAAAAGAAGAGTAATTTAGAGTTGTTCAAAGAAGAACTCAAAATGTAAGAACAAACTATCCAAAGCCAGTGTTTCAGTGCCATGTAGGCAAATATTTTCATTTCATTCAATTCCATTCCATTCCATTTACTGTACTTATTGTTGTTTACATTCTCAATTCAATCAGTATCCAAGCAGAAAGAGAAGAGCGACATCGAATAAAGAAAATGATGCGTGGTGGTGGTGGTGGTGGTGGTGGTGGTCACAGTATTGCCATGAATGTGGCTGGACCTGGTGGGCCAAGTGGATCACCTGGTATTGTGGCAGGTGTTGGTGGAGAAGAGAACACTAGAAGAAGTAGGTTT